TAATAGTAGGGATCCGTACGAATGTAAAAAGGTATAATATTTTAAAATCAGACGATATTTACCGGAGATATTCAAAAAAATCATCGACAAAGTTTCGATTTTTGACCCGACCCCGATTTTGAAAAAAAACGTGATGTAACCCCTTGCTTTTTGGTCGATTTTGGTCAAAATTTAGATTTTTATTTTTTTGATGCCAATCGATAGTACTGATCCTTACGAGCTCAAAATGGTATAAAATTCGAAAATCTGACATTATTTGGCCGAGATATGCCAAAAAATCATCAAAAAAGGTTGATTTTGAAAACGAATCGGTTTTTGGTCAATCATTTTTTTTTACCCATCGATATTGAATTTCTTTGAATGCCAATTAATAGTAGGGATCCGTACGAATGTAAAAAGGTATAATATTTTAAAATCAGACGATATTTACCGGAGATATTCAAAAAAATCATCGACAAAGTTTCGATTTTTGACCCGACCCCGATTTTGAAAAAAAACGTGATGTAACCCCTTGCTTTTTGGTCGATTTTGGTCAAAATTTAGATTTTTATTTTTTTGATGCCAATCGATAGTACTGATCCCTACGAGCTCAAAATGGTATAAAATTCGAAAATCTGACATTATTTGGCCGAGATATGCCAAAAAATCATCAAAAAAGGTTGATTTTGAAAACGAATCGGTTTTTGGTCAATCATTTTTTTTTACCCATCGATATTGAATTTCTTTGAATGCCAATTAATAGTAGGGATCCGTACGAATGTAAAAAGGTATAATATTTTAAAATCAGACGATATTTACCGGAGATATTCAAAAAAATCATCGACAAAGTTTCGATTTTTGACCCGACCCCGATTTTGAAAAAAAACGTCGTTTTGGAACGTCATATCTCCGCTGAAGTTATGTCGTTTTGGAACGTCATATCTCCACTGGAGCTATGTCGTTTTGGAACGACATCGAATCGGTTTTTGGTCAATCATTTTATTTTACCCATCGATATTGAATTTCTTTGAATGCCAATTAATAGTAGGGATCCGTACGAATGTAAAAAGGTATAATATTTTAAAATCAGACGATATTTACCGGAGATATTCAAAAAAATCATCGACAAAGTTTCGATTTTTGACCCGACCCCGATTTTGAAAAAAAACGTGATGTAACCCCTTGCTTTTTGGTCGATTTTGGTCAAAATTTAGATTTTTATTTTTTTGATGCCAATCGATAGTACTGATCCCTACGAGCTCAAAATGGTATAAAATTCGAAAATCTGACATTATTTGGCCGAGATATGCCAAAAAATCATCAAAAAAGGTTGATTTTGAAAACGAATCGGTTTTTGGTCAATCATTTTTTTTTACCCATCGATATTGAATTTCTTTGAATGCCAATTAATAGTAGGGATCCGTACGAATGTAAAAAGGTATAATATTTTAAAATCAGACGATATTTACCGGAGATATTCAAAAAAATCATCGACAAAGTTTCGATTTTTGACCCGACCCCGATTTTGAAAAAAAACGTCGTTTTGGAACGTCATATCTCCGCTGAAGTTATGTCGTTTTGGAACGTCATATCTCCACTGGAGCTATGTCGTTTTGGAACGACATCGAATCGGTTTTTGGTCAATCATTTTATTTTACCCATCGATATTGAATTTCTTTGAATGCCAATTAATAGTAGGGATCCGTACGAATGTAAAAAGGTATAATATTTTAAAATCAGACGATATTTACCGGAGATATTCAAAAAAATCATCGACAAAGTTTCGATTTTTGACCCGACCCCGATTTTGAAAAAAAACGTGATGTAACCCCTTGCTTTTTGGTCGATTTTGGTCAAAATTTAGATTTTTATTTTTTTGATGCCAATCGATAGTACTGATCCTTACGAGCTCAAAATGGTATAAAATTCGAAAATCTGACATTATTTGGCCGAGATATGCCAAAAAATCATCAAAAAAGGTTGATTTTGAAAACGAATCGGTTTTTGGTCAATCATTTTTTTTTACCCATCGATATTGAATTTCTTTGAATGCCAATTAATAGTAGGGATCCGTACGAATGTAAAAAGGTATAATATTTTAAAATCAGACGATATTTACCGGAGATATTCAAAAAAATCATCGACAAAGTTTCGATTTTTGACCCGACCCCGATTTTGAAAAAAAACGTCGTTTTGGAACGTCATATCTCCGCTGAAGTTATGTCGTTTTGGAACGTCATATCTCCACTGGAGCTATGTCGTTTTGGAACGACATCGAATCGGTTTTTGGTCAATCATTTTTTTTTACCCATCGATATTGAATTTCTTTGAATGCCAATTAATAGTAGGGATCCGTACGAATGTAAAAAGGTATAATATTTTAAAATCAGACGATATTTACCGGAGATATTCAAAAAAATCATCGACAAAGTTTCGATTTTTGACCCGACCCCGATTTTGAAAAAAAACGTGATGTAACCCCTTGCTTTTTGGTCGATTTTGGTCAAAATTTAGATTTTTATTTTTTTGATGTTAATCGATACTGATACTGATCCTTACGAGCTCAAAATGGTATAAAATTCGAAAATCTGACATTATTTGGCCGAGATATGCCAAAAAATCATCAAAAAAGGTTGATTTTGAAAACGAATCGGTTTTTGGTCAATCATTTTTTTTTACCCATCGATATTGAATTTCTTTGAATGCCAATTAATAGTAAGGATCCGTACGAATGTAAAAAGGTATAACATTTTAAAATCAGACGATATTTACCGGAGATATTCAAAAAAAATCATCGACAAAGTTTCGATTTTTGACCCGACCCCGATTTTGAAAAAAAACGTCGTTTTGGAACGTCATATCTCCGCTGAAGTTATGTCGTTTTGGAACGTCATATCTCCACTGGAGCTATGTCGTTTTGGAACGTCATCGAATCGGTTTTTGGTCAATCATTTTATTTTACCCATCGATATTGAATTTCTTTGAATGCCAATTAATAGTAGGGATCCGTACGAATGTAAAAAGGTATAACATTTTAAAATCAGACGATATTTACCGGAGATATTCAAAAAAATCATCGACAAAGTTTCGATTTTTGACCCGACCCCGATTTTGAAAAAAAACGTGATGTAACCCCTTGCTTTTTGGTCGATTTTGGTCAAATTTTAGATTTTTATTTTTTTGATGTTAATCGATAGTACTGATCCTTACGAGCTCAAAATGGTATAAAATTCGAAAATCTGACATTATTTGGCCGAGATATGCCAAAAAATCATCAAAAAAGGTTGATTTTGAAAACGAATCGGTTTTTGGTCAATCATTTTATTTTACCCATCGATATTGAATTTCTTTGAATGCCAATTAATAGTAGGGATCCGTACGAATGTAAAAAGGTATAACATTTTAAAATCAGACGATATTTACCGGAGATATTCAAAAAAATCATCGACAAAGTTTCGATTTTTGACCCGACCCCGATTTTGAAAAAAAACGTGATGTAACCCCTTGCTTTTTGGTCGATTTTGGTCAAAATTTAGATTTTTATTTTTTTGATGCCAATCGATAGTACTGATCCTTACGAGCTCAAAATGGTATAAAATTCGAAAATCTGCCGAGATATGCCAAAAAATCATCAAAAAAGGTTTATTTTGAAAACGAATGTGTTTTTGGTCAATCATTTTATTTTACCCATCGATATTGAATTTCTTTGAATGCCAATTAATAGTAGGGATCCGTACGAATTTTTTGTCAGATTTTGGTATTTTATTCCGTTTTGTTTTTAACAATCAAATTAAAAATCCTAGGCGAAGCTTTAAATTTTGTTTTTGATTTCGAGTAGAAGTTTATTGGGCAAAGTTCACACTTAGAAATACGGTGCAAAATGTATATACACCTCATGACAATGGATATGCTCCCGCCGTCTGTTGAATAAACATTGAAAAGTTCATCAGAAAACATTAAAATCATATTCACTGCACCCACATCCCTAGCGAACTGTGCTGGGAACTTAAATGATGCGTCAAAAGATCATATCATAAACTAATTTCAAATAGATTTGCGAGAATTACCCTTCAGAAATCAAGGGAAAATCACGGCCAACAATTGCGGCCTGCCAATTGCCAATTGTGTTTATATTTGGGATTGTGGGTTTTTCCTTTGTACACCTCTTGACTGTTGATGTTTTTTTTTTTTTCGCAAAGACAACCCCTCAGCACGTACGGTGCGCCTACCCCTGGGTAGGCTCTTTTCGCACAGAGCTGTCAATAAAGATATCACAGCTAATGACGAAATTAACACCCTTGCGTTTGGGTTTTTGCCGAAGAATCCGCTTGTGCATGCAAATTTCTGGCGAATTTCGTATGCAAATTTATTGATAAATGATCGAGCCGCAGGATCTGTGCCAGCTTGTGTTGGGCCCACAGAGCGTAAGGACAACTGCAGTCAAATGAAGGTAACTTGATGGCAACAGCTGCCAGTTGCGATTTGAATCACAAGAAAATAAAAAAGAATAGCTCCTGTTCTACAAGACACGTGGCCACAAATGCGCGGGCGAGAGCGTCCCTAATTTTTCTCAAAAGACTACGTCTGGCATTCGATCTGATTAGAGGGGAGACAAAGCGTGCCGAATGCTGTCGGGGGGGAATCTCTCAGCTCTGAGATGGCGCCCAAATGTTATCGAGGCAGTCTTGCCTCGAATTGTATTCAAATCCTTTGTGCAATTAGAATGCAGTTCATGTCTTGCCGCGGACCAACCCTTTAACACATGTACCACACCCGAGGGTCGGGATCAGGGTTACTTTCGCCCAAGACATTCCATTAGAGGCATGATTGATGATGCGCCCGGCATACGCTATTTGCATAAGTCTCTTTGGGTAACGCGCGTCCAGGCATTCACCTCAAGGCTTAGACAACGCTGAGGTCATGAGAACAAAGTCCAGGCACACAAAGGACCAGGAGTCCGTGTCAATATTTAAGTTGCGCTTGGAGCGCTCGCGTACATTATTATCATTATTATTATTATTATTATTATATACTTTAAGCACATATGAGTAGTTAGGTCTAGGACTGAAGAATGGCTACGGACTGCAATCAGGGCGTATCCAACAGCTGCTCGAGTATCCAATCCATGAAGTATTGTGTGCTCGTGTAGACGCCGGGCACCTCGGGCCTGGCACAGCCCACACCATACGCAACCACGCCAATCAAATAGAAACGCATTTGACCTTCGCTGACCTCGGAGGTCATCAGCGGTCCGCCAGAGTCGCCCTGGCAAGTATCCTTGCCGCCGGTTAGCACGCCCGCACAGAGCACAGCCTTATCGAACTGTTCCTCGGTAAAGAAACGATTCACCTTCGCATAGCTGGTGCGGCACACCTGATTGTCCAGGACGGGTATCATCAGTTGCATCAGTATATTGGAGGATTCGCCACCTTCCTGCGTCTTGCCCCAGCCGACAACAAAGGGATTCGACGAAACGTACGACTTGGCACGCAAACTCGGACTGCTCGGCATACAAATGGGTATTATCGTATCCGTAAACTCAACATTACGCTCCAAATAGAGTATGGCCATATCGCCGCGTCCAATGCGACTATTGTACTGCGGATTGCTCACGTACTGTGGACAGAATAAAAATTCATTATAATATAAATACTTTGTTTAAATAAATAATCAATTTTTCGAAGTTCCTACCTTAGCGATTGGCACATCAACATGGCGTGCCTCTGTGTCCGTCGTCAGATCGTGCTCGCCCAGGCGCACAAATGTCCTAAGGGAAATCCAAGAAACTTTGACTTTAAGATTGTTTGGAAGCAAGGCTTCGTCACACTTACAGATCCTGTCTGATGCAATGGGCTGCGGTGATAACATGTCTGGCGGTGATCAGTGTGCCGCCACACTTGAACGGCGATGAGGAGCCATCATCGTAGCCGAGTAGCGCAATCCAGGGCCAGGTGCCCTGCTTGGCCGGCTCACCGCCGACGACCTTTTTGAAGGCAGCCGCTTTTGGTGTAGCGCCGCAACCCTCCGCCACGGTGGGCAAGCGACGCGGCACCTCATCCAAGTTAACTAGCCCCACCGGTGGCGGTGTGGTCACCGTTTGGCCCGTGGGACAACAGACCTGGGTGCCAACCCGGCCGCATACCAAATTGGAGGCCTGCAATTGCTTGGCAAAGTCAGGGTCTTTACGCTTCAACTGGAGTTCGCTTAGCACCGGCGCACAGCTCTTGATTTCTGCAAGGGATTAGTAGAAGCTCTGTAGATAAAAAGAGTCTATGTGGGTATCCAAGATTACTTACCCACGCATTCGCCAATCTTGCCGGGCGGAAAGCGACAGCTGGGACCACGTGGCTGTAGAATCGGGTTTGAGGTTATCGGCGCAGATGTTGTTACTCTAGCCGTGGGCCTGGTCGCTGGTGCCTGAGTCACAGGATCCAGGAAAGGATTACCACCCGGTGCCCGTGTGGTCACTGGCAGAGGCTGCACCTGCACTGTCACAAACGAATCCTCTGTGGATGGGAAGAAAGGATTCGGTGGTCGCTCTGTGACCGGATTAGTAATCGGTCTGGTGCAGCACACCTAAATTAAAAGATAGCAAAAGCTTAGCAGGATTGGAGCAGATGATTATTAGTGGTCATCCATACCAAAGGATCCCCATTAACGCTGCGCGTGCCGCAGCTGCGCTGCAGCGCGATCACATAATTCTGCGCCGTTCGCCTATCGGTCAGCTTGAAGACATTCACCGCCTGAGGACAGTAGCTGAGCGCCACACATCTGCCATAATAATTCTCGGGCGTAACGCAATTCTCTCGAACTAAACGCGAAGATGGAAACAAATGAAGAAGTGCAAATTAATGCGTGGATCTGACTGAACTTGTGCGAGATGTGCATTCAAATTTAAGCAAGAAAAAAAAAACGGAAAACAAATTCAATTATTGCTGATAGTTTGCCCGAATGTTGCTATGCCAGCTATATATTTGAGTACAGTATTAAAAAGATTTAGCTTATTTATGAACTCCTCTACCCCTTTCACTGCGGCCTGCACAAGGAAGAATGCCAAGTAAATTAACAAAAAGAAATATCTATGCCAAGTCTTAACGATCATGTTCTCAGACTGAGACATGGCTAGACAACTCGCCTGCTGATACTTATCATTCATATAAAAGCTTTAGGGGGCCGAAGCTGGCGCCTTAAACACATTCCTAATACACTCTCTAAGAACTCTATATTATAAGTCTATTACAATATATATTAATATATATCCAATAAAAACTTGTTCGAAATACTTGAAATTCTCGAAACTCTCTCTTTTTTGTATCCAGTTGCTACCAAATTTTGCAGCCAGTGATACGTGCTCTTAATACATAATAAACTATGCATAATTACCAAAAAAAAAAATAATAATAAAAAAAAAATAAAGATAAAAACCGTAGGGAAACGTCTCGGGCATACAACTGGGGTCAATTGACCTTGGGCGGAGCTTTTGCAATGACAGTGACACTGACTGGTTTTACGGATTGAACTTGAGGCGTAACGCCAAAATAAATGTTTAAATATACATTTTAAAGCATTTTAACAAAAAGCTATACCAAATCCGCGCGAGTTTCTATGCAGCGCAAATAATATTTGTGCGCGGGAGATACTGGAAAACAAAAGACTCAAGCAACGAACTTGCCCGTAAGAAAACAAATTCCAAAATTCAAATTGCAATTTGATTGCTTGAGCTTATATCTTAGAATACATACGTATATATATATATATATATATATATATATATATATATATATATTACATAGTATATATATACATATTTGTTGCGCAGGAATTGAAAAAAAAAACAAAAGACTTAGGCAACAAACTTGACAGTGAAAAAACCCAAAACTCAATAACACACAAATTCCAAATTGTAATTTGATTGTAATCATTGCTTAAATATTAAAATATATTTTTATGGACGCGTCGCGGTTAATGAAACTGGTTTCCTTAAGCGCAACAACTTGTTTATATTTGCTCGTTTTTTTTTTTTAGTTAGTGTTAGAAATTTGTTATAGTCGAAGCTGAGAAAAAGCCAAAGCAAAGTTCTACTATTTAGACATATATAGATGTGTGTGGTGTACCTTGTCGCTGGTTAAACTGGGCGGGCGTGGGCGTGGCCAGGCAGCCAAGCGTTAACACAACACTGAGCACTAGCTTCATATTTGATTTGTTGTTATATTTTGTTTTCGGTTAATTCTATTTGAAAGCGTATCCAAGTTCGCGTTGCGCACTCGCGACGTTGACGACTCGCCGTACGTTATCAGACTGAGCGCGTCTTGAGACCGGGTCCAAGCTTCTTGTTGACGTTTTATATATAAATTTTGATCGAATTTGTATGCCGACTTTTTGCGTGACCAGCTCGCGACGATCGGCAGATTGACGACAGAGCCGCCGTTTTTATATGCGTCGCGTCGCGAGGGCCCAGCTCGAAAAGTTGTTCTCAATGGGCGAGAATCAAGAGCGCTTATCGCCCAACTATATCAATTAAATCGCAACAATAACAGCTTTACAGAAAAATCACCAAATTCGCGCAGTCGCTGTAATTTTATACAGTTTCCCAACATGACGAATCCCATGCGAGGAATGCAAATTATTCCGACTGCATTGTCTAAAATACGGCATTGTCGCTCTGCAATTATTCCAGCTATGTGTTAATTACACAGATTTCATTTGCTAAAAATCTAAACAAATAAGATCACTCAGCGAAGAATAACTAAATATGCACAGGCGTATGTGATATGCCCCATTCTATACAAAATTTAATAGCTGTCAGCTAATTGCAGTGAAGGGTAATCAACGAACAATTAAGTAATCGACAACTGGACACTGCCAGACTAGCAGATACCCTGTTCTGGCTCTTGTTAACAAATATGCTTAACATAAGCTAATAATAGGCGAAATGACAGCTTTTCTTACAGCTGCTCCGATTCTTCTTCTATTCCCTTATAAATGTTTATTGGATCAAAAATAGCACAAATTTTCATTAGACTTAGTTGAGGTTTTTTTCTATGCCTTGTCCCATAATACTTAGTTGTGTTTATTCTAAAAAACTTGTTGTTTTCATTATTCAATTATTTCGGCATTTTAAACAGAAAAAATCAGGAACCTGATTTTTTGCTAAATGTTTATTGTATTGGATTAAAAGTAGTAAATATTTTTAAATTAGTATCTCAAGCTCATAAATTCTCCAAAAAGTTGATTAGAAATCGATGTTTATCAATTTGTGAGCTTTTCAAAAAAAAAAGAAGAGCTTGTGCTATACCTAGCCCTCTCTGAGATCGACAGGTTATTACAACAACATCGCAGTTTGGGAAACTCTCACGAAAAAGTGTTTTTATTATAAAACCCAGCTAAATATGGAAGCAAGGAGGCTATACTGTGAGATGTAGATATTTGAACAATTTAAAATAAGTATATACTTCATTTGGAAAGCAATTATAATTTGTTGAATAGCAATTATTCTACACTCTGTAAGGGCATACAAATATTGATTAATTCGGATATTTTGTTAGTTTGGAGCCAAGACGCAGGCTGGAAGCATATGTTGTCGGCCTGGCGCCAGTTTGTCATTGCTGAGTTTTGCGAATCGAAAGTGAGTCAAGTGGTTCATTTAATGCTCGACCAGTGTATAAATATTATTTTATTTGTCATATTAACAAACGGATTTAGATGCCACATTCCACGCTAAAGACCCCCTAATGAAGCCGTAGTCTGAAAGCCTAATTGTTGCTGACAACACGTTTAGCAAACTGTTTACTGGGCTCGAGCCCAGATGCTCGAGCAACTGGTTCTCGTCTCGTCCAGAGATCTGTCCAGATAAGAGCCGAGAGTTTCGCATGCATTTGATGTAAAAAGCTCGTGCCGATTGACAGATTAGAGATTGATTTTGCGCTCGAAAAGGTTGATTACACCAATCGATGACATAGGCGCTACACTCAGAAAAATGTTGGTTAAATTGTGCTCGAATCTATAAACTTAAAAATTTGTTAAGTCAAGGGGGAAATAATACATTGTCTAGAATATGGTATACTCAAATAAAGCACGTCTGACGCTTATTTTAAGTTTCCAAATTCGTGTTGCAAGTCATTTTTAAATCTGTTTTCTTAAAATCAAGCGTAATTATTGTAAATTCTTATAATACGTTTATTGTACTCAGGCCAAAATTATTTGTTTGATAAAGTTCGTTTCATACATAATTTAAGATTATTTGAGAACGAAATCAACACAACATTTCAATAGAAAAAAAGAAGCATACCACCGTTTGGCAAGACTTAATTCTCGCAGTGTATTTGCGTGCAGCGTACTGGAATCTGTCCGGAATGCTGAGCAGTTGCCATGCTGTCCAAAAGCCAGGCCAATTGTTATGCGTCGAATGCATTCGATTGGGTTATAACATCATATTCTATAGGCCCGTGGACGATGAGTAAGCTTTGCCTATTGATGGCATTTTTAGAATGTCGCTCAGGTGCCAGCGGGCGGTCACAGTTGTGGGAAATTCAGGTGATTGCTCCTGCTGATCAGTTCCGGCTCGAGTGTCCGTTAACCAGTTACCTTACCTTACCTTACCTTATGCAATTTAGCCCCCCCGCCTAAATAATAAAGCTTACATGCCAAGAGCTGTCGTAAAATTCTAATTGCGAGCCCGCACTTGGGCTTTACTTACACGGATTGAGATTGATTGATGATTTTGCGGTTTTCGGATTACGACACGGACAAGTTGTTTGCTCACGCTATATATTTGCCGTTATATTTGTAAGCTCACAAATTAAGCTCATCTTCAAAGCAAAAAAGGTTCAACACAAATAACATGTGCATATATGCACATGAGTTTTTCGGAAATACCCGACTTGTAAAACTCGCATGTCTAGAAAGTTGATTTTTAATTCAAATTTCAACGTAGTGTATTTATATTGTGTACTTTTCGTGCTCAGAAGGGTTATTATATTCGGTTAATTACACGCTTGAGTTTCTTTATATGGTGTATGATTATAAACAAATATGAAATGTCGAAGTGGATAATCTGAATATGGAAAATAGAGAATATTATTTGTATACTCGCTGAGTCGAGCCACTGCGCTGCCCTCCTATGCGATTCTCATGAATTCAAGTAAGCCTTACAGGTTCACGTGCTTTGATTAAAAATGTTCTATTAATAGCTAAACTGAACTTGAAGACTTTATCCCATCTGCTACTCTAAATAAGTACCTGTTTTTCAGTTTAAATATTAGTTTTATCCGACTTTTAGTATACCAGCTTTCCACTTCTTTTGCTCGCTCCTTTTGATATAGATCCTGCCCTTAAGATAACAATAAACATGTTTATGTGAAGTAAGTAAGCTAATGTAATGCATAATCACATTTTTAAAGGCATTTCACACCTGAACACAAGTTATATTCTAGTTAGAACTAACACTTAAAGGTTTTATTTAAGCTTAAACACACGGAGGACAACTGTTCCTTTAAGTTTATTCCATAGAAATTACGGCATGTCAAACCCAAAGAATTTTCGTAATAAACTCAACAAACAGTCTGCGTGTAAGTGTTATATTTTGGGGAACAGGTATTTCAGCCAACTCAGTGAATTTGCGTTAGAAATCGGCGCGCTCTGCCCCTGGAAACGCCGCGTAATATCTGATGTATCCAGTTCAAGTAGCTGCTGGTTCTCGTATAGACGCCCGGAAAACCAGGCTTGGCGCACTCATAGCCAAAGGAAACGATGCCCAGCAAGTAATAGCGATAGATGCCGCCATCCAACTGAAAAATAAACAAATTAAAATATAACACGATCATAAACGTTAAGAGGTGTTATAAATATGTGACAAACGAAGCGATTGTAAGAGTTCGGCATTTGGTTTTGTGGTTTCCCACCCGGTGGCAACAAACTCAACCACCTTGGGGGATTCGGCGGCTAATCAAGACCAAAAACTGGTTCGATGACTCACGATCTATGTGTGTGTGTGTGTGTGTGTGTAACTGACCTGCGGCAGCATAAGTGGTCCACCGGAATCCCCCTGACAGGCATCGACACTGGAGCTGCCAGCGCAGATCAGCTGCAAGAAATCGAAAGACAATTACGCATGAGTATCAGGTTGATATCCGCGATCGAGATAAAGGTGATGACGATGAAGGAGATTTGTATACCCTTGCAGAGAGCATTATTATTTTGTCTTGAGATGTGTATAATATACATCAAGAGCTGAGTCTTTATAGCCAGGTCCAACTGTCTGCTTCTACTTATTACTAGCCGGAAGGGCCACCAAGGTCACAAGTCCAGCATATGAAAAGCTTTTGCTAAATATTTTGACTCGGCACTCACGAGCCCTACAAATCTCCTTACATATCTGCAAGCCCGTAATCAACTTTTCTGCAAGGGTATTTAACCTTCGGCCTGCCAAAGTTGGCTTTTCTAGCCTGCTTACCTTGTCGCTGAATTGCACGAACTGGAAGACAGACTTGTAGCTCTGCTCGCAGCTCTGCCGTGAGACAATGGGCACCTGTGCGTCGCGCAGCACATTGGACGTGGCGCCCTGATGTTTGGTTGCCCCAAAGCCAGCCACAAACGGATTCATGCCCACGAATTGATCCTCGCGCTGAAACCTGCTCGCCTCTGGCAGGCAAATGGGACGTATATCGCCTGGTAAAAATAACAAGAAATAATTAAAAACGTTACAGTTGGAGTCTCAACAACAACGCAATACTCTATCTACAGGTTAAGAGTAGTCAATTTATTTGGCAAGATTAATTTGATTTGGTCTTCAGTAATCTGCGAAAATCTATCAGACAGACAAGCATACGGATAGATGGACGGGCGGAGAGACGTCCGGACAGAGTAACAGACGAGACGAACACACCACGAAACCAATCCACCCCAATCTTCTTCATAAACAGAGTACAAAAAGGTTTAAGGAAAATGCTTAAAGTAACAAGCCATGTCGCCTCCTTCCACTAGATGTCGCCACAAGTTAAAGGAAATGCCTGAAAATAAATTGTAAGCAGCGCCACTTACCGTTAGATGGCGCTTCGCCGTTCAGCTCAATGAGCGCAATATCATTGGCAATGGAAGCCAAATCGTATTGGTCGTGAACAATGCTGCGCCTGATGCGATAATCGATGGCACCCGGCTCCGCGGACTTGGACAGATCATGTGCCCCGAGCCTGACCAGCGTCAGCATTGGATTGATGCAGTGCGCCGAGGTGATGACAAATTGGGCACTTATCAGGCTGCCGGCGCAGAGAAACTTCAGGGCATTGCGATTGGTCTCCTCAAAATAGCCCAGCGCCGCCATCCAGGGATAGGCACCTATTCACACAACTGGGATTAGTAACAAATGGAGGCTTAGGGCAAAAGAAGGCTTACCTCTGCGCACCGGCAGGCCGCCCACCACGCGATTTGTGGTGGCGCCTCCAATGCCACAGTCTGGGCTGGGCTGCAAGGCGGGAGCTGGCGCAGAAGCAGCTACCTGAACTGGAGCTTGGTTGACTGGCGGCGTGGGCTGAAAGACGGCGATGGGCTGCCCGGGCGGCTGCGTGGCTGCGGCGCCCAGCGAAGAGAAGGAAAAGGCGCCAATCGGTGGACTGCTGTGCAGCACATACTCCTTGGGGCTTCTGTTGACCAGGGGCGCACGTGTCGTCGCGCAGCAAACCTAAAAAGGCGGCTATTGAGTTACTTCCTTAAAACGGAGCAGCTGGCTTACCAGAAAGCTGGCGCCATCGAAGCCGCAAATGGACTGTCCCAGAAACGATTGAAAGTCGCTGCCGGCTGTGCCCGCCGCCTGGTACTCCTGGATCAGATGGGCGCAGCTGCCCAACGGCACACAGGCGCCGACGCGACCGCGTGCATCCTGGCAGCTCTGCAGCTGGGCTGAAACAAGGAGCAAAGGGAGCGTAACTACAGGTTGGGCGGATGTGCAGGTGCAGGGATTGCCAATTCGGGTTTTGTTCACAATACTTTATTCAACTACAACTATGTTTGGGTGGGTGAGGGGAAATTGGGCTGGCGAGGCTGTGCTGGATCTAGTTGGATGCTAGGGCATGACGACGCCGGCGACGACGACGTCGACCTGGATTCAGTGGCATAAAGACCATCATATCCGAACCGATGACTGGCGGCTGCTGCTGCTGCTGCCTGGGATCGATGCAGGGGCAATCCGGCAGTGGACGCACGCCGCCTGGCAGACACACAAATGGCGACGATGGACACGTGGGTGCGGGAAACGTGCTGCCCGGCGAAGTGCTGCCGGTTGTTGTTGTCGTTGTTGTCGTTGTTGCCGATGATGAAGTACTCGTAGTCGATGTTGTTGTTGTGGATGTGCTGCCTGGAGTGGGAAACGGCGGCGTTGGCGGCGTCTGCGGCAAGGGCGGCGTCGGTTGAAACGTTGGATACACTGCGTAGGTGGATGTGGGCGTTAATGGCACTATGGGCGGCTGGGGCAATGGATAGAAGGCGAAATAACCTGGCGGATAGGGCGGACACCAGCCCTTGATGCTGGCCAAGTACGACAGAAATGGCCAGAAATAGACCTTCACACAGAACTCATCCAGCAGCATTTTATTTGCCACAAACAAAAAACTCTAGAGGCTCCCGTGCAGCTGCCACAAATGTTGCCAGCCAACTGGCCAACTGGCCAAATGCAGCCGCAGCCAATTGTCAACTGTCCCAGTTAAATAGACATTTCATCAAATTATTCGAATTATAATCATAATTTTCACGTTTTGTTGACTTTTCGCTTTGCAGTTTTTCCAGAACGGAAGCGCATTGGCCAGGGCCGGTTCAGCAGCAAAAAAGGGGGGTTTTAGGATCAGCAATAGTTAAACCAAGTGGAAGTAGTTTATGAAGCGAACCGGTTCGAGCAGGCAATACATGCTAATGAACCGGTTCTAAAACGGCATTATTAACACGTCCTAAGAAAATGTTTAGATGTGAACCACTTTTGCAAGCAAGCGAACCAGCTATGAAGCGAACCGGTTCGAGCGATCCATGCATGCTGATGAAACAGTTCTAAACAGCAATACAAATACAAAACAGCTTAGAAAACTGAACAACATTCGAAAAAACGATTGAATGAGAAATACTTTTGCAATCAAGTGTACCGCTTGTAAAGCGAACCGGTTCGAGCTAGCAATGCGCAGGTTTGTAAGATGAACCAGCTCAAAGAACTGAACCACATTCGAAAAAGTATTAGACTAAGAACATTTTCTTTAATGTGAAACACTTTTGCAACCAATGCTGCAAGCTGGTTCGAGTCTAAACCTAACCACACTTTACAACACAATTTTGATTCGGTTTAAAAGAGGTTTCGTAAATCTGAAAGCCGCAAACCGAACCAATTGAGTAATTATATTTGTTGGCCTGCAGTCATGTTAATTACGCCCACACTCCCACTCTTTGATATGGTTTGTTAATTTTTTTAGGTGTAAAATTAAAATAACCGGGCCACTGACGCCTCACATCCGATTGTGTCCAGCATTATCGGAGATCGTGTTAACTGCTGTTTACATGACACAATTTCCATAGAGTCCGCCAATGCAGGCATCATTATAATTTGTCTGATTTGTTTATGTTGGCGCTTTAAAAACAAACTACATTTGTCACGATCGCAACTGCTAATATTATTTATTTGCTGGTTCGAACCATGTTCAACCAGCTGTCCGTCTGTTCGTCTGTGTGAACGCATCGCTCTCGAAAAGTACAAGAGGTACAGAATTGAATTTTTAAATATATATATTTGACTTTATGATCATAAAGATCGGACTATAAGAACCGAAGCTAATGCAGATAGACAGGCAGACAGACAAAAAAGCAGTTAGACAGGCAGATAGATAGACAGATAAACAGATAGATAGATAGATAGATAGATAGATAGATAGATAGATAGATAGATAGATAGATAGATAGATGGATGGATAGATAGATAGATAGACAGATTGATAGATATATAGACAGATAGATAGTACATAGATAGGTAGATAGATGGATGGATAGATAGATAGATAGATAGTTAGATAGATAGATAGATAGATAGATAGATAGATAGATAGACAGATATATGGATAGATAGATAGATAGATAGATAGATAGATAGATAGATAGCTAGAAAGATAGATAGACAGATAGATAGATAGATAGATAGATAGATAGATAGATATAGATAGACATATATAGATAGATGGATAACATGATAGACAAACAGATACACAGATAGACAGTCTAAAAGTCGGTTACAGGGTATCAGCCTAGTCGGCAACTCCCGATTAGTATACTCTACACTGGCTTTAACTAGATCTCACATAACTTACAGTTCACGAAATTCACAATATAGCAAGTCCATACTATATAAAGCCAAAATCGAGTCCAACTCTTTGGCTTAGACATGTTTCTCAATCCGTTTGCTGGACGCGTTCCCCTCGAAATGTACACTGAAATGAAAACCAAACAAAATGTATAAACATGCCTGCAATTATAATATTTATGATGGTTTAATTGTTGCAATTTTCCAAATTAAATCAAATTATTATTTAATTTGTGGACAAACAAAAAAAAAAAGGCGCCGGCGATGACAGATCTCGCTTGAACTTGAAAAAAAAAGGTAAAGCACCTGATGAACTTCAAGCCGGAAAGCGCTTTAAACCGATCAAGGTCTAAACATATGTCGACCATTATCTAAACAGAAATGTATATATGGGACAAATTGAATGATTGACAGACTGACGCATTGACTGACTGATGGTTGAGACTGAGGCTTATATAGAGCTAAACAAATTAAATTAAAGCAGAGAGCCTTTCTCTGAGCAACAAGGTTCTGCTGCACTTAAACTCACCTTACACTAAGAACTGGTATATTCTCGACGGGACCTTAGGCAGGGACCAAAAGGAACCCTTTTTCGACAGATCACCCCAATATCCTTGAAAGAAGGCCTTGCAGAAGACGCCAGAAAGCGACGAAGACTTCGCAGGAACCACCCCAATCGATATATAGATATAAGCTTAATCCAATACTAGAAAGAAACAACGTAGAAGACTTAATAATTAATGTATGTTAATTAATTAATTAGTGTATGTTAAATATATTAATACCCTTACTGTGCAGCTAGGCTAAGATGCTAAAGAAATGTATCAACAAATTGGCAAATAAAATAATTTTAAAAAATCCAAAATAAAAAGTTTTATACATAAAATTTGATTTTCCTACTTATGCACTGCAAATTGCATGACGATCGGACTCTAAGCACCGAAGGTTTTCAAGGAATTCCTTACTTTTAGTCTAGAGCAAAAGTAAGAAGAAGCACAGCCGAAGAAGGAATTCGTGTAACAGCAGCTCGGGCCTGGGCATAGGATATTCCCAGATCGTTAATTAATATTATTTCATTATATTATTTTTAATAAGTATCAATGCGAGCAAGTGCCGCATTTAAGAAATATTTTCGAAATTGAATTTCAGATGCGCTTATTTATTGACTTTTGGCTTTCAGTTAGGCACGTGGCTAATTGTTAACACTGAGAGACAAGAAACGGAAAATGCTCTAAATCTAAATGCCGACTACGACTACCTCGTGTACTCGTACAGACAACATGCAACATATACACATCGAATATGGACTATATAGCATATACATTATAATCGTATGGTTAATAGGCCTGGAGCCCGGTTGGGTGTGTGTCTTTCGCCTGGTCCTTGGGCCCTTCTATTCCCGGTGCTTGCAGTCGAGAAAGAGCTGCGCCTGCGATTGCACAAATCGAAAGATCTCCAGCAGCATCTCGTTGGACGTCTTGCAGTTGCCCTGCTGCTGCGGCTCAAAGAAGCCACCGGCGGCGCCGCCTCCAGCTCCGCCGCCCACCGAACGCTTGCCCCAATCTGGCGAGAAGGTGAGCTGAAAGTATGGGCAAATATTATTTGCAAGCTCTCTCGAGGCTTTGCTACGACTCACCTGGCATTGCACACAGGCCAGCAGGAAGAAGAGCACGGCGGCAATCAGGACTTCACTCTTGGGATTCATGTTGTGTTCTGTGAGCCTTAGACCCAGTCGCAGCTGCTTATATACCCCAACAATGGGCCAATCGCCATTTGCTGTCCAATTAATTTCGACACTTCTAAGGATTCTGTGGCCCAGACAACAGCTTTTCTGGCGTCATTTCTAATAAATGAATCAACTTAATGTACTTCATGTTACTCTTAAAAGAAAATCTCTACCAAGACTTTGAGCTGCCTTAAACTAAGACAAACTTAACTTACTTTAAAGCAGAAACGATTTTGATTCATGATATTATTACCGGAGTTTTTGCTCCTCTTCATTTGGTTAAAATTTATAGTTTTTCTAAAAAATAGTCAACACACATTTTTCTAAATCCTCAAACAAAATTAATTGCCAATCGCTTCTGTTTGTTAAAAATTTTAGACTCGTAAAATTTGTAAAAAAAATCCCAAACTTAAGGCACACAAAAACACGCTCAAAACCGTTTGAGGTAAGTACTCTGGATTATTTGAGAAGAAAATGAATGTGCAACATTTTGGAAGCATTTGTGATTTGTATGTATTTATTAGAATTGCGCATATATTTGTATTAAATATATTTATATAAATATATAATATAAATAATAAATGTTCGTTAAAATAAAGCAGTGTAGAGTTAAGACAAAGAACACATAGTTTAAACACTTTCGTATAAAATAAAAACATTGAATAATTTATCGAGGTCTACAAATATTATTGTATTGTGCGTTTTATCGTTTTCTATAAACACGTACTCAAATTATGACAAAAAACAATTTAAATTGCTTTTGTTTTATTTGTTCTTTTTGTTTATTTTTCAATTTTTTTTTTTTTGTTATCAATGCGCTGACTAAATGCAACGAGAACGAGGCACTCAATTTGTTATTAAACACAACACAATCTTTGATTACGCGTAACAAAATCGAATCGTATATATATATAATAATGTATATATAGTACGTGTACATGTATGCAATATATATATATATATATATTAGTAGTAAATAACAATACAAATTACAATAACACATTACTTTTGGCTTAATCGAAAAATACAAACAAACATTCAAAACTTGGCTCAATTATTTCCATTAATATTATTAAACACATGGCGTTTGCACACTACAAATTTCTCACAAATTTCTAACCATAATAATAAAAAACATTTGTCCTTAATTGTTGCCATCGATCAACAAATAATATTACAAAAATATATGTATATTATGTGTGTTGTGTGTGTGTGTATATATATATATGTGTATCCATGTATCTATGTATTTATGCAAGCATGTATGTTTGTCTGTGCTATCTGGCGGGGACTTATTGAGTTTTAATTGTTATTTAGTTAGTTAGTTAACTGGCGAGCTGCTGGGCGTGGCGCGAGCTTATACGATTCGGTTGTGGGTTCTACAGGTATAAAAAATGCACTTCGTTTGGGTTCGTTGTTGTTGCTTGATCTTGGATACTGTGTACTGGGTACTGGGTACTGGATTACTGGTTGCACATCGAAGTCTGTATAGCTCAGTCGACGCGCGTTTATTAATTTAAAAATTTGGTGTTATACTCGTTACATTCATCCTGTTGCTGTTGTTGTTGTTGTGGAGATTCGCAAATAGCTCTTACATCAGGCAGCACTTCTTCTTGCCCTTCTTCTTGTAACCCTCCTCGATGTAGGGTCGTTCGGCTATTTGAAATTTACGCACAATGCGCACCAGTTCATGAAACGCCTGATCGACATTGACGCGCAGCTTGGCACTGCACTCAATATAGGGTATCAATAGGTTTCTGCTCGTATTTTGCGCTTCCTCCAGCGACACCTGACGCTGATGCTCCAAATCGCATTTATTGCCCACCATCAGCATGGGAAACTCATCGCGATCCTTGACACGCAAGATTTGACGCTGAAATTTTGGTATTTCATCGAAGCTGGAATGATCATTCAAGGAGAACACCAACAGGAAACCCTCGCCGGAACGCATATACTGTTCACGCATAGCGCTAAACTCCTCCTGACCGGCTGTGTCCAGTACTGCAATATGGCATAGATTAATATACAGACAATGCATAATATGTATGCGCATCTATAATGTGTTTTTTGGGACTTACTGTCCAGTTTGGCTGGCACATCGTCTATGACGCACTGTTTTGTGTAGGAGTCCTCGATGGTTGGATCATAGTCTGTCACGAAATAGCTCTGAAATTTTTAAGTGGATATACATGAAACATATTTGATTTGTTTACACACAGTCTTATACTCGTAAGATGAAGAAAATCTATTGCATACATAAAAACAAATGTGTTTATATGTGTATGCGTGCATATACATATGTAAATATACATATGAATGGTTGTGGCATGAGCAGCAGATGAAGATGACGCAAATAACTAAAAATAAATGGAAAACGGCCGCCGCGCATTGCCACATTTGTGAATGATACGACGGACGAAAAAGAGACCGTGGTCGTGACCATGACGAGCGGCCCGCCGGATTGACCTCAGCTCTGCGCATACACTCAAACACACACACACACACACCTATAAACGGCAAACGTAACTCCTATTTGGGCCGCTCCAGTGGGATACGCCCTTTAAATATGACGATTTTCCAGCTGACTTTCATTTCTATTGATATACATTTCAAGTTGATTTCGCTGAAGATGATGATCTATGCTTGAAAATATGTAGCACACGCGAATATTGCCAAACACATCAAGTTGTTTGGTGCCTCGCTTGTTGCTTTTGCCAAAAACAAGGGTCCAACCCACTTGTTACGTCGCGCCGCGCCCCTCTGACGATGCGACGACATAGAGATGAGCAACGTTTACGTTCACAACTGCGTGACTATGTGTTACCGCCAAAACTTACTGTTATTGCGAACTGAAAATCACGTTATTGGCCAATGCGCAACACTGTTGCTTTTGCCTATACTGCGACAGCGACAACGACGACGTCACCAGCTCTAGTTCTGGGCTCACCTGTATGAATTGTATCGTTATGGCTGATTTTCCAACGCCGCCGCCACCGACGACAACCAATTTGTACGTTTGCATTTGCATTTTTGTGCGCTTTGCTCTCTAATTTTCTATTATTTTATTGTTATACCGTCCGCGAAAAAAATTCAACTAGAAATACACTGGTGTATCGACATAATCGATTACATTAAACATCAACATATCGACAGGGTTTCATTGCGATTACTCGATTACTTGCGCAGCTTTCACAGACATTGACTCATTTTTGCGTTATTCCGTCGATTGCAACCGAAATCGAATTCAAGTATTTTCGCATTTATTCAACAAGTTGTATCTTAGGCTTAGAACGAGCTACACTAAATGTTTGATGGAATTGGAAACGCTAATGAGACTCAGCAGCCATGCATAGACGTGCCAGCAGACTAGTCAACTGCAGCAGTGAATTACAGCCGTCGACAATTTTCATGTGTGTAATGCCAATCTCGCGAATGAAGTTCAACTTCAACTGCTCGTCCACATTCAGGCGTTTGCAGACGCGAAATATGTTGCCAATGATGTCTTCGGGTGCATAGCCCAAGCGCCATAGCTTGGCCAAGATCTTGTATGCCTTATGTATATCATTTGCAGCACAATGCTGCAGCATGTCCTGCAACAGCATAGGATGCGGCTCGTCGCACACTTTGAACACATTTGCTCCCGTTATGTCACCAAAGCCCTGCGCCGTGGACTGCAGATTGTTGAGCGCCTGCCGCATGTCACCCTGTGCCGTGAACACTATCGCCTCCAGGCCATCCTCATCGTACTTGAGCTTCTCCAACTGACACACCTCAATCAGTTTGGCCAGCACTTGGGCATCCGACAGCTTGGTGAAGCGCAGCATCGCGCAACGCGATTGAATGGGTTCAATGATCTTCTCGCTGGTATTGCAGGCGAGCGCGAAACGTGTTGTATTGCTATAAATTTCCATGGTGCGGCGCAGCGATTGCTGTGCACCTTCCGTCATGCTGTCCGCTTCGTCCAATATCACAATCTTATGACGGCCGCGGGGCAACGTTACCTTCTGCTGGGCAAACATCTTGATCTTATTGCGCACCACATCGATTCCACGCTCATTCGAGGCATTCAACTCGAGGACTGCATCCTTATAGCTGTCACCCAGCAGAATGCGGGCTAAGCACTGTATGGTTGTTGTTTTGCCAACGCCAGGCGGACCCTGTATTATATTAGATTATTATAGTAGGTTTATATATACTCTGATATGGGCGTATATTACCGCAATGATTATGTTGGGTGAATTTCCTTGCGTGGAGAAGACGGACAAACGGGCGACTGTATCTTCATTGCCCACAATTTCATCGAACTTCACAGGCCGGTACTTTTCAATCCAAGGCAAATTGTTGCGCTTGTCGACCACAACAGTTTCCATTTCCTCTGGCATTTTGTTTTTTTTTTATAAGAAAAAGTAAATAATACAAACTTCAACTCTTGTCGGCGTTTGCAGGCATAAAACGCGGGACGATAGACAATTGTTTTGGTATTTTTTAGCACTTATCGTATTGGTGGGTGTTAGAGCAGGCAGCTCTCTCTTACCCATGCTATCGAAATAGCAACTTTGCGAGCATGAAAGCATCGAGTAATTGCGATCGAGTACTCATTATCGGTGCGCATGATAGTTGTGTGCTCAGTATCGATAAGTGTAGATGTAGAAAAAAATATAGTGAGAATATGGCGAGTCTTGAGGGCCAGCAAGAAAATTATTCGAATAACCCAGCAGGTATGCATTAAAAAAAGTGAAACGGCCCAACAAATTTAACTAAAAACCGTGCGCGTCAATGACCAGTGCAAAAATGTAACCAACAATACGCGTAACAAAGAGTTTTACAAGCCCCAAAAAAAATTGTTGGTCGAATGGGCAGCAACCAAGACAACGACAACGACGACGGCGACGACTCACACTCAAAAAGCGAACGATGTGAAAAAAGAAGAAGCCAGAAGAAGTGTTTGCTTCATATGGGTGAAATTTGCCCCCGTGTGTTTTTTCGAGCTCCTATGCTATGTGCCTGTTGTTTTGCCCCCGCTAATTCCCCCCACCAACCCCCTCTCAAAACGTCAACCGGAGTTTTGAGTTATAAATAAAAATTCGTTCAAAGTTTCCAGAGGAAAACATTTTCGCTGCCGCCGCCGTTCACAGTCATCGTGAGGCAGCAGCTGCGCTGCAGCTGAACATTTGTTTGACTGTATATGTGTATGTGCATGTGTATACGTGTGTGTGTGTGCTTGCCAGTCCACCCCGTCCGCCCGCCGACGCCAACGCCAACTTATCAAATGCGTGTTTTTTACCTTGCCCTACAAGTGCAAAACAGAAGCCGATTGATTTTCTTTTTTCCACATATTCTGATATTTCATTTCGTTTTTGGACTCTATCCGAGTGAGTGTTTGCAAACGAAAAATGTGCAAAATGGTGAAAATAACTTGGAAAATTGAAAGGCTGAATGAACTTTACAGCGCACGTTTACAAATTATCTTACGAAACCAAAACACAAACACTCGAGTGTTTATATTGCCTTGTTGTTTTTTATTTACTTACAGTGGAAAACATACCCAAACGACCCGAAAGCCGAGAGGGGAGCGCCGAACGCAAAGGTAAGACAGCCTTTCATATATAGTACACTTATTATTATATGAACCTATTCATGTGCGTGTGTGTGTGTATGTGTGTTTGTGTGTCTGTTACATAAAATTTGTCCTAGACGAATACTGCACGCTCTTACTGCACACAAACAAAGCAAGAAATCAATAAATCTCAAAATTGAGAATATCTTTTACAAGAACTTGGTTCATTTCCACAAAAAATCAGTCGTAAGGATTTATTTATATGATATAATTTAAAAGTGACGTCTAGATATTTTGAAAATATTTATATTTTTCGACAATAATACCTATGGTAACTATTTTTTAAGTAGGCTGATCTGGATAATTTGTTGACCCTATGTAAAAGTCATGGAATCTTGATTTAAGTTAAGGGCTTTTTAAAAATATCAAATAATTTTATGCTACGACAAGCATATGTACTAGCTGATGTAAAAATAGCAATCTATTCATAGTTTCTTCAGGATTTAAAGGCTTCAAAATGAGATATTAGCTTGTGTTCATACCGAGAGGAGAGACAAGATAATGAAGGCTTTATGGTAGTTTGTTTAGTAAAAATTTCTTCAAAAATATAAAATGATTTCATACTACGACAAACATGTGTACTACCTGGGGTAAAAAAAAAGGGATCTATGCATAGATTTTTCAGGATTTAAAGGCTTCAAAATGAGATAATCAGATCAAGAATTAGGTTTAAAGGAACGCAGATCAATGTGTTACCAACCTGGTGATAAAATCAGAATACTCTTTGCATAGGGCATAAAAACGTAGCGCAAAATTCTTGTGCGCAAATGGGCTTGCTTCAGCTTCAGCTCCAGCTCCGACTGCAGCTGCACTCGCAGCCCACTCGCTGATGAAGAACAGCATACGCGCAATGCTCAGAGGTGGGCGCCAGGCGCATAGATGAGACGCCAGCGTCTCTGTCGGCGTCTCTGCCGGCGTTCAAGGTTGTTGACACGCTCTGCCGTGTGGTGCGCCCAGCTGCTGCGCCAGCCGAGCCGCATGATCATTCACAGACATTCGCCAGCTGATAAGCGGCCGTTATCTAAACATGCTTATGGATATATGTAGAATTTGTGAAAAGTGAAAAACAGCTTGCCTCAATTTACAGTTGTTGCAGTTTACAGTTGGGGTTTGCTTTGCTTTGCTTTGCCTTTTGTTCGAATTTGCATTCAATTACGTCACTAAATTCCATAAATACTTGAAACGATAACGCGTTATCGGTGCGGTTATCGGACGATTGCCGATAACAAAGAATGCGCACAAAGTTAGTTGACCAACATTGGCGAGTTGGCCAATTGTCTGGCAATTTTGATGATATTTTCTTTTGTTTATTGCTTTTATTTTGCACAGCGGCCCAATGTCATTTTAATAAAAATTGTGCGCTTACATTTTCTTTTGCCTTATTTGCTCATCGCACAGCGGCCTGTATGTGTGTGTGTGTGTGTGTGTGTATTGTTATTGTATTTTGTTGTCAATTGACCCACATACATACAAAGCGAGCGTACGATGACGTCAGGCGCTGTAAAAGTCGCCGGCAAATGCCAAATTCAAAAGCAAGTTAGAGTGCTTCACGTCGCGATTGCCCGACCACAAAATACCCTGTAGGCAGCTGCTTCAAATAATTCATAACTTCAGCAGTTGGCTGGTTTGAGTTTAAGGCTGATTCTTGCTTCAGTTCATTCTTGACCTTTCTATATTTTATTTTACAAATATGCACAAATTTTGATGATGATTTTAAGAATATACACAAATCTTTGCCTCAGGCGAATACTTTAAAATAAATATTAATATATATCTATTTCGATATTTATCGTATTTGAAAAATTGAACGAATTTTGAGGTTGAGGTCAAGTGCCTCTAATAGTATAAAAATAATCATAAATATAAAAATTTGCATGCCCTTTGAAAATGTGTGTGCTATATACCCGCTTTGTCCGTTTTGCTGGAGTGCAGGGTATAAAATGAAGAGCAAGCACAGTGAATGAAGCTATATCGATTTTTGCCACAGGTAGCAACAATTTTGATGATTAAAACTTGCATCTACATGTGAAATATGAGCATTCGTGTTTGTGTTTTAGCTGCCACACCTGCCACCCCCGCATCCTCAATGAGAAACAATATACAAATCTAATGGCTGATTCTCTTCTTTTCTTTGACAGCGTCCAAAGATCGAGAGGAAAAACTGAGATATGCGCGTGATCGACAGAACGAGGAGCGACAGAAAAAAATCGAGGAGCTGCGCGCCCAGGCCGAGGCAGCACAAAAATATCGCGAACAAAAGGAGGAGGAGCGTCGCCGTCGCATCGAGGAGATACGCGTCCGTGATACAGAGAAGCGTCATCAGGTTGAGGAGCGCAAAAAGGCCATCATCGAGGCCGAGAAGGAGCGACGCGAGTTTATACTCAAAAAGAATCAGGTGCGTTTTATGGCCAAATATCTATTTAACTGCTGCCACCCAAATTAACGCTTGACTTTCACACAAAATAGGAACGCGAATCGCGAATAGAGACAAAGAGGCGCGATAGAAATTCGATTGCCTTTGCTTTTGGCTCCTCAACGCCACGTTTGCTCGATGTGCCGGCAGATTATGGTCTGGTATCGCCCAGCACCTTTTGGAGTCAACGACGGTCAGTCAAATTTACCCGCCACATTTCGCACACTCTCTAATCTTAGGTTTATTTCTATATATTTTAGATCCACATCTATATCGAACGTGGCAGGCGCCTCGCTCTCACGTCGCAGTTCCGAGCGTGAACTAGCCGACAGTGGTGCTAAGAAGCGTGCCTCCTCATCCACGGACAGACATGATGGTGAGTTAGCAGTAGCCCATAGACGCCGCCGCCCCCCATCAATTTTCGGTCGAACTGTCACAGATATTACACACCACACACACACACACGGAACACACTCCAACTACACTTAATCTTAACTATTTATTTTGCAGTTGATATTACTTTAGACAATCTACTCGTAATTTACAAAAGAACTCTCTGTTTGTTACGTGACAATCTCTCTCTATATATACTATATATGTACTCTTCTGTGTGCCCAATTTCCAAGTACCTGTGAACTGTTGCAGCTGTATGCAAAGTTATTAACTTGATTTCAAGCACCTGTCTACCCCACAACACAACAAAATTTATTGGTTGCAATATGATTTGTTATATCGTCACTTAGCCACCTGTTACTGCTAATCCCTAATCCAATCACAGCGTAGCTTCAGTTCTTGTTAATTTTTCATCTTTCACCTTCTCTCTCTCCTCTCTCTCTCTATACAAATTGCCCATTACACCGCACACAGATCATCGCCGCAAGTCTTCGTCCATGTACGAGGTGTTCAATTGGGGCTATTCCAATGATGAGCCGCCGAAGCGTTTTTCGCTATCGATAGCCGGCAGCGAGATAAATATTGATGGGCCAGCGCCCATTAAGAACAACGCCCAAATACTGACTTCCAATACAACAACCACAACTGCGCACAGACAATATACAACAACAGCAACTGCAAGCCACAACAACAACAACAACTACAACAATAACTCATATCGTAAGGGTGAGGGTTCCTCTTCTCAACTCTTCTTCTCTCTATTGTTCGTGTTTTTTGCTATGTTTACCCTATTTTTTAATTTGTTTGTTGCCCTAACCTTTCTAATAGCTCTTTGTAGAACAAAAAACTTAACCGGCATGCGCCCATGTTTGCATGATCTAATAATTGTATCCTATAAATAAATCCTGCAAGACGAGCAGAACGTTAATATCGATGCTTGTTATCGATAAACACTGATTTCAGTTATCGATAATTACTAATTAGCGAATATCGATAAATATCGATTATTGTTTTCGCTTATCGAAATATATATATACTATCGATTATTGTTATCGATAAACGTCGATTGCTGTTATCGACAAGTATCAATAGCGGATATCGATTAACAGTTCTTTTTTACCTGTAGATTTGTAATATCGAAATATATCTATATTATCGATAAGAGTATTAACTGTGTTCAAAGCCTATATTAGGGAAAGCTCTGAATACCTTTACAACTATTATCGATAAGTCTAATGCTCCTGTAATAAGGTTACTTTCGCCCTAACATGCCACGCTCTATGTAATGCTCCCTTTCCCCCCTTTCAAGCGGCGGACCCAAGTTTTATGTTTTGTTTTTTCAACTCTACCCGATTTTAGTAGCTCTCTCTTTTGCTCTCTCTTAGCATGGTAATTGCTTTAGCCTATGCTTTTGGTTTCTCGATGATACATTTTGCATTTGTTTCAAGTTCAGTCAATTTTTTGATCAAATGACCAAAAAGAAAACAAAAAATATCCAAAAATCCCAAACCACAATTGCAGAAGATAACGTTGACACAACACAGAACATGATGTTCCGAAGCGTTTACCGCAGGAAAACGGACCTCATGCCGACAATACCCAGCCCCCGAGACGGGCACTACGGTTCGCGCAGCTCACTGAGCACGACGCCCCGAACCCCAGGTAAGAACGTTCCCCGCAAACCCCACAAACCACAAAATTTGCGCCCAAACGCGACAGCTATCATAATCAAAATGTCTCATTGAATTGTATACATCAACATCATATCCATGCCATTATTTCATATCATCAACGTATTCAGTAAGCCATTTCGTAGGTTCCACCAACAACGAACGCTGTGACCATGAGAGATTTGGCCTTGCGACGGGGCGTATTTTATTTTTCACTTGCTTTGATTCTTCTCCAAGCTGCAGAAAGGAGTTTATTGCTCCCAATTTCAAGCACCAAAATATATCCCATCCCAAATCCAAAACTCACAATCCTTCCACCTAACCACATCGTAGCCAATTCTGTGCCCATTAGTGTGCCGTCTACTGTATATATATTTAGCTGCATAAGGAACCACAAGCACCACAACAACCACAAGAACAGCTAAAAACAAAACAAAACAAATGATTCTGATTCATGAACACTTTCTGAACCACTTTCCACTTTACATATCCACAACAACCAATGCACATCAGGACGCGCCTATTCGATGAACCGCTTGGATCAGCTGGCCCAGCCCATACGCCGCAATGGCGAGCATGTGCGCGCCATACTGGAACGGGAGCGACGCGAACGTGAACTGGAAATGCTGGACGAGACCTCCTCACTGGGCGGCGGCAGCACAGCCAGCAGTCGCCGTGCCCATTTGAGGGGCAAACGTGCGGGCAGCGCAAGCGTTGGCGCCAGCGGCACATCCAGCGCCGCCGGCATCATGTCGCGCAGTATGACCCATCTGGCTGCTGGTGGGGGACAGCGGGAGCGTGGCAAATATTCGCTAGGTGGCGGCATCTCGACCAGCTTTCGGCCGCTGGGCAGCGGTCCGCGCGACTCTAGTAAGAGCATGACACAGATAAGCTATTCGTGGTCGAGCACAAACAGCACCAACAACAACAACCACAACCCACAACAACAACAACAACAGCAACAACGCCAATCGAATCTTGGCTTGCAAACTGCCGCAACTAAAAAATATCTTCAAACATCATTTGCCTCATCCCACAACGCATCCTATACGACAGCGTCCGCGAACGCGTCTAGGCGTGCCCAGCAGCAATATGCGATATCCACAACTTCTAGTACTAACCCCTACTACCGTTATCACGACCTCGATCCAAACTCATTGTTGCTCATGAACTCTTCTAGTTTGTTAGTGAATGCAGGTGTGTGCGATCAACAACATCCAACAACAATCTATAACACAACACCACACACACACACACACACACACACACATCCTATCTATTTGTACTCCTGCGGTGGCTATCATAGAGATCCATACATCCACACACACAACTCTGTACCATTAAACCCCAATTAGAACTAGTTATCGGGTTCTCTTTCCTTATGCACACACAATAGACGAACAACAAGGCACACTTCATACACACACACAGCCTCACACACATTGAGCGCATTAGTTCCTGTAGAAACACGATATAACACTTTTAAAGGTTTATATCAGTTAAAGCTGAAATTAAACACTCTACAAATAATCATTCTAAAGTCATTAATACTCTTACCAATAACTATAGCTAAATTTAGTATAGACTTTCAACTTCAATTCATATAACTTAGGCTTTATAACCCGTAAAGCCTATCGATTTTAGCTGTTCATATGTAATTCCATAAAAGTTGCCAGTTCTAATCATACATTCATATATTCAAATTGTTAACATTCTCTCCAAACATTAGTTTAGAAATCATTGATAGATTTCGCCCTTACATAAAAGATAAGCTATCGATAAATTCTTATCGATAGCTTTCAGCTCTTGCCATCAATAACGGTAATACTTATTGATATTTGAGCTCTTGTTTTCAGTTCATGTGTGCAACAGTTTGTATATTCAGTAATCGATCTCTGAATACAAACAAATCGATCGTACTATACAGGAGTTATCGATCGTTTTCTGCTCCTAAATAGAGCTTCATACATGTATATTCCGCGGTTATCATCAGTAATCCCATCCAATAAACAATTGTTGGCATTAAATGCCCAACACTACCTAAAACAATAGAATAAGCCATAGCGATAATCGATCATAGAATTAAACATATCGATAATCGATTATAAAATAAAACCTCGATCATCTTTAGTTATTCTGATATAACTTGCGTCGTGTGGTAAAATCGATATTTATCACTCGAAAATATTTAGCAATCGATAACTTACTGTACAAATCGATCAATTGTTAATCGATATTTGTAACAATTATCATCAACAAATTGCCAATCGATTTTGGAGTTCTTTGGGTCCATATTGTGTGCTGAGCATTGCCATTTGTATGTTTCATTCGTGTGTTCTCAATGGACCCCTTTGTACACACATACACACCCCTCTCTACACACACATACACACCCCTCTCTACACACACATACACACCCCTCTCTACACACACATACACACCCCTCTCTACACACACATACACACCCCTCCACACACACCCACGCACACGCAATCTCATAGGTTACTTTGGTTAATGCTTTGTGTCTTTTCCGTTTGCCCACTCTCTACGTATTTGTGTCTTAATATGTATTTGTTGGTATTTTGTTTAAATTTTGTAGGTTTTGTTTTCGATTGGTTTATAATATTATCTCCTGTGTTCTGTGTACTTCTTATTTTTTCTACCTAATGACAATCTCTGGTGACGGTCACAAATTCACAAAAATATATCACAATGTTTTTTTATTTGGTGCTCACCCACTCCATATATCTATATAAACCAGCTGCTCCGATGCTAGCATGACTAATCTTTGTTTGAATCTTGATTGGCTTAGGCTCACGTTCCGGCAATGTAACACCCGGCGGCCATGGACACTTGAGCGGCTCACGTCCCGGCAGCGCCATGTCCACATCCACAACGTTGTCCACAGCCGGGCCGGTGACCAGGCGTCCCGCGACGGCGCCACGCAAGCCCAGGCCAGCCAGCATAGCCGGCACTGGCATGTCCCTCGAGGGTAAGCATTAAGAATTTCTATTCCTGTTTAATCTTGAGTTTAATCTTGCATTTTGTATTCTCGCAGAGATCAACAAACTGAAGCGGGACAATAAGCCGCCAATGAAGACAACAACAACAACAAATGCCGCCTCGCCAACCACGTCTACAGCACAAACGACACCCAAACGAACACCGAACCTCATGTCGACCTCAATGATCGTGACCTCCAGCTCAACGCGAATGCACAGCGCCGAAAAGAAGACGCCCCAAAAGCGGGTCAGTTGAACGGCAACTTTAAACAGTCGTCCGATTATATATATATTTATATTTATTTGTAATGTTCTTTAGGAAACGCTGCCACCAAAGGCTGCCTCCGCTTCCAGGGCACAGCCCAGCCGCACCGCCAGCATGGAGCGCATCAATCGACGCCAGAAGGAATCCGCAACAAAGTCTGCAGCCTCGGCGATGAGTGCGTCCATGATTGTTACCAGCAGCACTGGCAGCGTCACGACAGCAGCTGCCGTCGTGCCAGCGCCCACACCAGAGGCAAATGGTGTGGTCAAGGAGCCAGAAGAGCTTGCCGCAAAGTTGGTACCAGTTCCTGATGCAGCTTTGGCCGCTGTCAGCAAGGCGGAAAAGGAGGCATTGAACACAGTCAAGACGGAGCAAGTGCAGCAGCAGGAGCTGGTGCAAATCGAGGCCAAGACACAACCTGAGCCTGAGCCTGAGCATCAGACAGAGCCAGCTGCTGTTGCCGTAGAGAAAACAGCGGTAGAGCCAACAGCTGCATCGCTCAGCGTAGAGGAGAAGGCCGACGAGGGCAACGAGAAAGTCCAGGCTGCAGCCGAGCCCATTGTAAGTGTGCCGAAGAAAGCATTACGTAACGGCAGCAAGGAGAACTCGGAGGTGCGCGAACTGACACCCCCAACGGCCAATTTATCGGTCGATAGCAGCAACGATTTGATGACCGCATCGATGATAGCAAAAAAGATAACGACTGAGGAGGAGGCTAAGGCCGCATTAGCCGAAAGACGACGCCTGGCCCGCGAGGAGGCTGAACGACAGGCAGAACTGGAGCGCCAACGACTCGAGGCCGAGCGTCTGGCCGAGCTCAAGGCACAGGAGGAGGAGGCCGAACGCCAGCGACTATTTGAAGAAGAGTCCACACGCCTGGCGGAGGAACAGCGCCGCGGCGAGGAGGAGCGTCTACGCAAGGCCATCGAGGTAAGCGTCTTTTGATGAGTCCCAATACAAAGAAGTCTAAATTAAATTGTCCACTCAATACGCAGGAGGCACAGCAGCGCGAGGAGGAGGAGCAGCGCAGGCGCGAGGAGGAGGAACGCCAGCGCATCGAGCGCGAAGAGGCCGAAAAGAAGGCCAAGGAGGAGGCCGAAAAGCAGCGCATCGAGGTGGCCGAGCGTCTCAAGCGCGAGGAAAAGGAGCGCGAAGAGCGACGCAAACGCGTCGAGGCAATCATGTCCCGCACACGCAAAGGCGGCGCCGCTGCCACCACACCCGCTAAGGTAGCCAGCCGCCACTGTGATTTCATCCTTCAATTATTTACACTTCTAATCCTTGACAGGAATCCGCTGACACCAAGGCTGTCGCGGCTGCATCGTCAGCGCCCAAAGAGAACGATGTGAACAGCAGCAGCAGCAACTCAACCGATGGCTCGCCCAGCAGCAGCAGCACCATCAATGATGCGCCCGCGCCCGCAGCGGAAACGGAGACGGACGCGGAGCCGCCCAACAGTCAGGCCATGTATGAGCAATCGGTGCTAGACAAGGAGAACTCGCTTATCAATAGCTTCGCCAATATGATTATCGATGAGAATGCCAAGAACTTGCATCAGTTCGAGGTGAGCAATGGCAAGCTGCATGTGGAAACTATTGGAGCAACAACACCAGCAGCAGCTGCTGCTGCTGCAGCAGTGGCCAACGGGAATGGCCATATCGAGAATGTGAACAACAAGAAGTGAGTGTGCATGAGTTGTGGCTTAAAGATATAGATAAGATGAAACTAAAATAAAGGCTTTGATTGTTGCAGCGACATCAATCTGCTGCAGGACGCAGTGACTCCGGCTGTGACACAGCTAATCGATCTGAGCATTGAGTCACAACAAGATCTACACATCAACAACAACAATAATAACAATAACAACAACAACAGCTTGCTGACGAGCACAGCGGCAAACAACACGCTAGTCACTGCTGATAGTCACGAGAATAAAGGTAATACACTAAATCTCTATATATGCTATATAGAAAATCGTTTGTATTGACTAACCGACTGACAAACTGGCCGCTTGGTAATCAACAAGTGGGGAAATATTTCAATTGTATACAAGTTTTCTGTTTCCTATCCAATATGCTCTATAAGAACTTTCTGTCAATTCCCTTCATGTTCTTCCAAATTGAATAAGAAAAGCGATTGACTTTAAACTTATATCAATTTCAAAGTACAAAATTAGCCAAGGTTAGACCACATAGCTTGGCCCGGCCAAAGCCAGTTAATATCCCTTATAAATTATATAGAATCTATATTAATCTATGTTCATTTTCTTTGCATTCTACAGATATATCGCTGCTGTGAATTCGTTGAAGAAAACCAAACCAGATTGTTTTCGAAACTATCTAAGAAAAAAGAAAAACAACAACAACAAAAAACTGATATATAGCTAAATGTGTGTGGAGTATTTATTTATAGATTGAGTTAAAAAACAAAGAAAAAAAAAAACAAACCAGCCAAGCGCAAGGTCTGGTTGGGATAGAACGTGTGTGCCGAGGAGAGCAACAAATTATGGTTACTAGCGATACTAACAAACAGGAAAACAACAAAGCTTATAAAAACTATATACACCCTATTATATACATATATATTTAAAACAAAAGATGAGCTAAACATTATAAAGCTGGCAGAGAGTATGCGAAGAGCGAGCGAGCGAGCGAGTGCATGTAATATTAGTTAAGAACTAAGACAAAAACTAAAAAAAAGAAAAGATACAAATCTTGATGAAAAACGCTGATTATGATAACAGTTAAAAGATAAGAGATAAGGCATAAAGGATAATGCCTGATAACCAGCCGAATCATTGATTGAGAATTCGGAGCGTCTCGCGTTTATTGCAAAGCAATTCGATATCCAATGTTCCATAATTGTGGAATACGTTCTCATTTAATTAAAAAAAAAACATTTCTAATTATTAATTAATTATCAATGTGTAATTGTGGCTAGGCAACAAAATCGCTTCAAAAGTTTGTTTTGCAATTCAGATATTTTGAGAGACGCAGCGTTATATATACATATATATAATTGAAAATTATATAGAAAATCTGGCAAAGAGAGCAAGCGAGAATACCCTCGAAAATGATTTGCAGACGCGGTATGTGCATAAGATACCCTGCTGGGAGCTGAACCGCCGTCGCCGTCGCCGTTGTCACCTGCTTCACCTGTGCTGATTGCCCAATTTGTGCACAGTTGTTTTATAAGTTAAGTTTAATAACCGTTGAGCCAACGAATCGTGAGGTATTATTTATTAAAAAAAACAACAACTAAGAAAATTTGTCTGAAATTATTTGCTGATGCTGTCCTATGTCCAGAGAGTGTAACTGTAGCCTATATAAACAAAATATAAAACTAACACACACAGATATCAGATATCAGTGCTGACACACACACACACACACACACACACACATACACATACCTAGGAACTAATGGGAGTCGAGTCGTTTAATTCTGATTATGCTTATGTCATTATTTTGTAATTGTATTAGTGTTTCTCTCTCTGTATATTATTTGTGCGTCAATTTCTATACACATATATAAATATATATTAATTCTTTTTTTATATACATATATACACAACTATATTTGTAATTTGTATTTATCCATGTGCAAAATAAATTATGATTATTTTTTTTAATTGAATTTAGCAAATTATTTAGCATGCACTCCCAAAAAAGATTGTTAAAAGAAAAGCAAAGAAACATAAACCATAGTCTATAATGCAATTCACACACACACGCACGCACACATGTGTGTGTGTGTGCCACACCCACTTGTACTTGAGCGCGAGGGCCTTAACATGCATGAGAGCAAGCAAAAAAAAACTTGATCCAACCCCATTTATCCCGTTAAAAGTAGTTTAATAATAATGGAATGCTTTCCTATGTTTAATAACCTAAAATGGCGATATAATCAAAAGACAAATGCATACATATATGTTTAATATATATATATTATTGAAAAATGTCTTGCTGCAGTGAAAATAAACAACAACAATATTCTTAGAACTATGTATATTTAATATTACAATTATATATGTATGTATCACACACAAAAAGTAACAACAAATTATAAAAGCAATTCCCTTTATTTATTTAGAACACATTAAAAAAAAAACTCACACTGAACACTGAAAAAACTTATGAAATTCTCTTCTTATCTTGAAAGCAACTAAAAAAAAAACAAGAAAACAAAAACAATTGCATAACAAATTATATATTTATGTGAATAAAATGTAACTAATTCTCAAGGCAAACTAAAGCATAAAAGAATTTTTTTGTTTGTCTTGAATTATCAGGCAATGGCATGGTCACGCCTGGTATGCTGTGGTTAGGATAACGCATGAGCTGCGTACTAATAACAGGCTTCATATCTCTTCACTTTCAATGCCATGAAAACAAACATTCAAACAGCCGTTAAAAGCCATGTGCATTATGACATCATCAGCAGCAGCAGCTGAGCTTGAGCTTTTAAGAGCGGCTCGTATTAACACAAAAATACAGAGAGAGAGAGCGAGAGCGTCGCAACAATATAAATAACTGTACGCTCTCGCACTGTTATTGCCGCTCTCTCTCACGCTCTCGCTCTGCAACCGGTCACGTTATTAACATTACAGCGCTGCTTAACGCTTCAAGTTTTCTTTCTGTTGACTGTTTTGATGGCATGCTCAAAGCGCTTTTAGTATTTGTTGTGTGCGGACGTGTTTTATACGCAGCGTTCTCCAAAAGAAACAAGAAATTAATACTTAACAATTGTGATAAACATTCCATTGGCCCGAGTGCAACAGCTAAGCTACTTTTTGACCAACATAACGCACCCTACAAACCCGTTTCCAGCCTAAAACCCAGCAGCAGCCGCAGCAGCAGCAGCAACCGCAACAAACATTAACATGTCGTCGAATCGTGCTCCAAAGAGTGGCTTTGCGGCCGAAGCGCAGCGCAAGGTAACCAAATTTTTGCCAAAAACAAATATACTGTTGAATGCCTGTGTATGCGTGTGTATGTGTGTGTGTGCGCTTGTTAAGCTGCATTGCCTTTATTTGGGCATTTAAAGCCGAGTTGCGTCTGCTCTCGCGCGCCAAAAACCAGACTAAAAATGGTCTTAGAAATGACCTCATTCCAAATTCGCAATGCGCGTTGATAAGTCATCTTTAAGTATGCATGACTGCGTGTGTGTGAGTGTGTGTGTGTGTTTGTATCTAAGTATCTGGCCATGCATGCATAATCTGTTGGTTTGAACGTAAACCTAATTAAGCGATTGTTGAGCCTCAATTGGCTGCATTGAGCGAATTTTCGTCTCTTAGTCCAGTTGCTATGCGCCTTGCGCTCAGCTGCAGCGAGCGAAGGGATCGCAGCAGCCGCAAAGCTGCCTCGTTCATTGTTTGCATCTCTTTTAAACTAATTTGACATTAGCGACGCTTATTTACAGCATTTTACACATATACAGAACTGGCTTTGTGTGTAGCCCAGACCCCCCTCCCCCCTACTCTTTCTCTCTCTCTCTGTCTCTGCCGGCCCCCCTTTGGCAATTACGCAATGCACTGTCCCTGTGGCAGCGCCGAAGGCAAAGAGACGTGAGTGAAATTTGAAATCGTATATGTTGTGCGTCGCTGCGGGAGGGGGGGATAGGATTAAGTGCAGTCCGCTAATGGACGACAACTACAAAAACAACTACAGTCTACAGTTACATTGGCATTGGCCAAGCAAAATAACAAAAAAATAAAACAAAAAGGCACCAAACGAGGGACATTCCCTTAGCGTTGTCGCCCCGCCTCTGCCTCTGCCTCCCTTTTTGATTTTCTCCCCCTTTTTTCGCTGCGATCAACGGCTTCGCAGGAGCGAGAGAGAGAGCGCGATGATGTCATTGGGCTGCCTGCCAGCTGCCCGTCTTCGTTAACTTCCAAAAAAAAATACAAAATATTAAAGACACCGAAAGAAAGTTACCTACGATTTGACGAAGCTTGAATGCCCTTCCTTACAACTAGATATATGTATTTGATATATATGTAGTACGGCAATAACGAGAAATAGTTGAGACATGATCAAGATAATTTGAACATTTTTGAAGTGTCGCAAATTAAAACACATTTTTTGTGCAGGAAGCAATGATATATAATCTATGACTAATTTGATCACTGGAAGTTATCACTAGTAAGCCGAGACTTTTTACTATAAATACTTAACTATTTACTAAATATACAATATGGGCTCTAATATAACTAACTTATACAATCCGTGACGAAATCAGTATACCCATTGCAAGGGTATCTTAAAGCGCCCCACGTAGCGATAGCACCTTTTGACGCACTAACACACATGCGCGCCGCACTTAAAAGTGTGTAAATAGGTGTATGCGTGTGCGTATGTGTGTATATGTGTGGCATAAGCAAACAAAAACAACATGCCGCTGAATCAACTTTTAAAAATTGTTTGTCCATTTGACTATCTATCTGTGTGTGTGTGTTTGTGTGTGTGTGTGTGTGCGAGAGTCGATTCAGTTGCCAGTTATTTTTGTGTACTTTTATGGCAACGACTCAAATTTCAGCAAAATCGAGCAACTATTGAAAGGCGCAACAGTCTGCACCCCACCCCCCCCCCCTCTCTCACCCCTTTCACCAAGCATTTACCCTGATTCAACATTCTAACCAAACCCTAAGCGTAACCCTAACCGCCCCTCCACGACCCCGCTTTGACCATGTTGCCATTAATTAGTCGTTCGCTTGTCTGTTGCTCGCCCATTCGTCTTCTATGTATATGGGTACCCATAGAAGCGTTAGCACGTACCTATAGTAATCACTGGAACACACGCACACACACACACGCATACAGGCAAACATAGATATGGTCACATTAATACATCCGCAGCAAGTACCCATCGGTATCAGTTTACCAAATGGAACTTGCCGAGCTCTTCCAGCTCTAACAAAAACAACAGTAAAAAAAAAATGATGTACTGTCTGCGTATAGAAGAACTATGTACGTATAATAATTGTTGTAGTTATTCATTTGTAGATAAGCCATAAAAAGTGTTGGCAACATAGTTAATCATAAATCAAATGTTGTTTGGATTTCCGGTGAAACTCGGTATGCCAAAGAAAAAGAAAAAAAAGCGTACCCTTTTCTATGCTGGAATTGAAATAAGCCGGGCTTAACATTAACATTTGTCAACATTGTGACACTGTGCAGTGTTGTGCAATGTTTATATTTTTTGGCATAACAAAAATACACGAGCAAAAACAGCTAAAATCCGACACATAATTGACCTCGTTTATTTGCGGTATTCAAAGCTCGAGTGTTTATTTTTTGTTTTGGTTATTTTTTCGAATATCGGTCACTCGCAAAGCTTTGTAATTGTCAGCGAGCAGCAGCCGTGACACATCGAAAGGAAAGCGAAAATGAATAATCGCAAGTGGTGGACAGATTTGCCGATAGTTTTTTTTTCTCCCTTTTTAAGCGCCGCTTATTTGCACGTAATGCCGCTCTCACACACAGACACACACACAGAGGGAGAGAGCTACACCCACATGTACACGCACACACGCATGCTCTATGATTTCGTTAAGTTATGCGTCAACTGTTTAGTTTTTTTTTTCTTTTTCTTAACTAATCATTTTGCGCTGAGTTATTGCTTACGCTCAAAACTCAATAATGACATCATCTGGCCGATCGTTTTAACTCTGTGTATCCCTGCCACATTATCATTACGCAATGATCCGTTGCCTCGCCGCTAAACGCAAGTGCGAATGGGACAAAAGATGTACATAAATATTTTATACATTACGCGCAACTTCTTGAAACGGAAACTTGCGTCAGCTTTTGTTAGATTTATGCGACCCTATGCACACACATACACATACGTACATACATGCACATGTATTTATATACTCCTTGAAGCCTCGCATGTCAGTCAACAGCATCTGCTGACTGGCAATTACCTATTTCCATAGATTACACTTTCTGAGGGTATTTCGATTCTGTCACGAAATGTGTTACGCATAAAACGTAAAATCATAGCAAAGGCTTAAATTGTATAATGTATATACTAGAGATACTAGAAATACTAATACTATCGTTATCTAAAGTAGAATATATCGATACCCGTTGCATTGCGATAGCGTGCTTTTGTCGAATTTATCGATGCCCATTGCAACGAAATAACGTACTTTTGAATTGACATCTAAAAAAAAAGTAAGATAGAGAAATAAGGAATTGTTTAACCAAATTTAAGAGAACGAAGTTTCACAAAAGCAACAAACGCACAAAAATTGAGTTCTTTTCTTAAATGTAAGGGTATTTCTTTGTTCACAATGCTGTACTTTTTTTGTTCATTGCAATTTTTTGTAGTTTTTAGCAGTGGGTGTTGTCAAGATGAGTATTTTTTCGCTTTGCCGCGTTGGCGCTGTTCAACACTGACAATTTGTTTGGGGCCCGCAGCTTTACAATTTCTCGTCGAAGGGGATAAAGTTAATGGCATCAGCAGGTCTTTAGCAAGTTGTGTGTAAACAGCAAACGTTGTCTGCTTTTGGAATGGGGCACTTTTAATTTAACTAAAAGCCCTTACGAGCTAATGAAGAGGCCTTCAGGCTTGGCCCATGCTAATGCGCCTTGCGTGTGCGGGCAGCCAACAACACCCATACACACTTGTTTTACTGTACAGTAAACCGTATCTGGCAACTCCATCAAAAACTTTAAAAAAAAAATAGATGATTAAATAAAATAATTAGTTACTGCCAGTTGTTTTGCATTGTCGCGTAATCGCGCCTCATTTATCAGCTGACCCACAGACCCAGTCAGAGGTCCGACCTCAATGTCAGTGTCGTCTCTGATAGGTTATAGTACACTTGGCGAAAACTTCTGGGAAGTTAGATTTATGTCTTCCATGACTTTCAAATAGTTCGTTTATGTTGCAAGCATAAGAATAAGAAACTTGGCTTAAGTAAAATATATAGACTTAAGATTAGTATGAAACATTTCCTAGTTTTGAC